AAATATCAATGGCTGCTGTAATGAATGGTGGTATCTTCAAAGTGGTTTCTCAGGAAGACAGAGATATGCAAGATGGATCTAATAAGTAGTTACAGCCTAAAGGTTGTCAAAAATAGCATATTACCTCCTCACCAGTGACTCCTTTCACTGAGGTATGATGGCTGTAAGGAAGGCCAGGATTGAAAAGAAGGACCGAGAGACTTGCACCTGTGTCTAGCACCAGGCTGTTTTCTTGTTCCTCCATAGTCATGATTACCCAGGACTCCTCGATGGAGATGACAGTCTGGCCAGAGGGAGAAGGCAGACCATGCCCCAAGCCCTCTCATTCCTGTTGGACTAACTGGTAGCATGGGTCTGAGCTCTGGGGCCTCCACCTCAGAGGGCAGACTGATCTCCAATGGTCTCCTTTGCATCCAGGGCATGGCCCATGGGGCCTCTTAGGGCAGTTCCTCTTGAGGTGGCCCAGCTTTTAACAGTGGTAGCAGATGAATGCAGTTGTCGAGTTCTTCTTGGGGCCCTGGGAATCAGACCTGGGATCTGTTTCTCTTAGTGGTGCAGCAAAAGCAGCTGCTTTTTCTTGGTCTCTTTGTTTTCTCTCCTTGGCCTCCTCCTCATCATGGCTATAGAATACTGAGGAGGCAATTCTTACTAACATCTCAAGTGAGCTGTCTGGGATGAGAGCCATTGTTTGTAGCTTTTTCTCTCCAGCTTCCCATTGCTTTGGGACCTCACAACCAGTTAGTTTCCTCTCCCCAACTGTCAGTACAGGCAGCAGGAATCTTGCTGCAGACCTCTCCAGAGCTCCACCACAGCCTGAACTGTCAGGGGAAGAATGGCTTCCAATGAGTCTCCGCAGGTTTTGTGCAAGGTCCTCCTGGTTTACAGGTTCCAAACGGCTTTCATGAACACAGTCCAGAGGACCTCTGACTCCTCGGGCTTAGTCTGTATTTTCATGTTCTCTGAGTCCTTGTTCAGCAGCTGCTCCTCCGCTGGCTCTGGACCTTTCTGGTTCTCAGTGGCAGGAGCAAGAGTGTCCCGTTGTATGGCATGTATTTAAAGAGTGTCCCGTTGTATAGCATGTTGTTCAAAGTTTGAATGATTCACACACGTCCATGGGTGGGCATCTGCAGTTGTTGCATGGTGCGCCAATTGTGTCACTGTTTGTCTGTGTCATGATAGATCTCAATTGAGCGGTGGCGGCTGGCCTAAGGGCCGGTGCGCAAGAGCGCTTGCCGCCGCATGGCTCCCCATGCGCCGGGGACCCTCCCTCCGGAAGCCCATGAGGCAGGAAGCTAGCCAGCCAGAAGACGGGTGCTCCCCGCCCGTGGCTCCCTGTGCTCTGGAAGCCCTCCTTCCGGGGCCTACGAGGCAGGGAGTGAGCCGCCGGTCCAAAGACCAGTGCTCCCCGCCCAAGGCTCCCCGTGCGCCGGGGGCCCTCCCTCCGGGAGCCCACGAGGCAGGAACAGTTTAGTTTCATTCTATCTTGCCTGTAGTTCTTATAGAATTCCATAGTGAATCCATCAGATATTGGGCTTTTCTTAGTGGGTTTTTTTTTTTATTACTGCTTCAATTTAATTGCCTGTTACTGGATTATTCAGGAATTCTAAGTTTTTTTTGGTTCAGTTTTGGTAATTCAAATATGTCTATCTAGGAATCTTTCAATTTCTTCTGAGTTCTCCAATTTTTTGGCATACAGGTTTGTGAAGTAGTTATAATACTGTGGATTTTGGCAGTCGCTGTTACGATTTCACCTTCATTTCTAATTGATTGATTTGTGTCTTTCCTTTTTTTAAATATAAGATTGGCTAAGGATTTGCCTATTTTGCTTATTCTTTCAAAGAGTGAGCTCTCTGATTCATTGATTCTTTACTTTTTGGGTTTTTGAGACAGGGTCTCGCTTTGTAGCCCAGGCTGTAGTCCAGGCTGGCGTCAAATTTGTGGTGATCCTCCTGCCTCAGGTCCTGAATACTGAGATTGTAGGCATATGCCACCATACCCAGCAGATTCATTGATTATTTGTACTTTTTTGTTGTTGTTTTGCTTTTTTTTCTTTTGTCTTTTTGAGACAGGGTCTCACTATGCAGTTCAGGCTTGTTTGAACTCACTTTGTAGCCCAGGCTGGCCTTGAACTTGCAAGGATCCTCTTGCCTCAGCCTCCAGAGTGCTGGGATTACAGGCATGTGCCACCATGCCTGGCTGTATTTTTTCTAAATTTCTATTTAATTGATTTTTACTCTGATCTTTTAAATTTCCTTCTTTGTACTTGCTGTGGATTTGGATTATTCTTGTTTCTCTAGGACCTTGAGGTGCATCATAAGGTTATTTATTTGGGCTCGCTCCGTTTTTCTGATGTGGACATTCACAGCTATAAACTTAACCTCTTAGGACTGCTTTCATTGTGTCCTATAAGTTCTGGTATGTTGTACTGGTATTACCATTTAATTTTAAGAGCTGTCTTTTTCCTTAATTTCTTTTGTGACCCACTGATTATTAAAAGTGTGTTGCTTAACTTCCACACATTTGCATAATTTGTATGATTTATTTTGCTGCTGATTTCTAGTTTCACTGTCCTATCATCTGATAATGTGCATGGTAAAATTTCAGTTCTTTTGCATTTATGTAAGCATGCTTTATTTGTGAATATGTTACCTATTCAGAAAGTTCCACATACTGCTAAGAAGAATGTGTATTCTGTTGGTTGCCTATTAAGTCCATTTGTTTGAAGGTTTAGTTCAATTCTGATTATTACTTTGTTGATGTTTTGTTTAGTTGATCTATTTGAGATAGTGGTATGAGGTCCCTACTCTAATTATGATGATATTTATCTGATCTTTTATTTCCATTAGTGTTTGTGGTATGAAGTTGGGTGCACTGTTGTTTGGTGCATATATTTTTTGGGTGGAGGTGGGTAGTGGGAATCAAACTCAAGGCCTCACACTTGCCAGGCAGGTATTGTGACCGCTGAGCTACTTCCTCGGCCCCATATATGTTTACAATTGTTACCTCTTCTTGTTGAATGTTGAATGGTTCCCCTAACCAATATGTAGGGTCCTTCTTTGCCTCTTCTGATCAGTTTTGGCTTAAAGTGCTATGTGTCCGAAAATAAGATAGCTGCTCCTGCTTGTTTTTAGATTCCTATTATGTGAAATATTGTTTTCCATGCTTTGACTTTTAGTTTATGAATTATTAGGTTAAGTGTGTTTCTTGTATATAACATATTGTTGAATCTTATTCCTTGATCCATTTTGCTAATCTGTGTTTTTTGGTTTTGAATTGAGACCCTTCACATTGATGGTTATAACTGAGGGATATTGATTTATTCCTATTATGGTATTATTTTACTGTTCCTGATTCCCTTTCTTTCCCTGCTCACCCTGCATTGTTCGTCATTTGATTGGGCCATGTGGCATTGTTAGCTTCATTGTCTTTCTTTTAGGATATCCTTTAGAATTTAGTGGAGTGCTCATTGGGTGGTCATGAATTTCTTTAGGTATTATCTTACAAATATCTTATTTCTTCATCAATTTTGCAAGACAGTTTTGCAGGCTATCAATCTGTATTGGAAGGTATTTTCTTTTAGGGCTTGAAATACTTCACTCCCAGCTCTCCTTGACTTTGAGGTTTGTGTTGAGAAGTCTGCTGTAATTTTGATAGGTTTTCCTTTATAAGCAATTCATTGCTTTTCTCTAACAGCTTTTAAAATTTTGTTCTTTTTTTATTTGTAATTTGACTATGATGTGTCTTGTTCTTTTCTGATCATGCTATTTGGGGTTGTATATGCCTCACTTAATGTGTATGTTACTCTTTTTCCATATTTGGAATGTTTTCTGCTCTTACTGTGTAATTAGGTAAATGTAACTGAAAAAAAAAACAAAGAAAAGCATAAATAATTAAAAAAATAGAGAGTAAACTAATGGGAAATAAGGAAAAATAGCAAGGGAACAAATTAAAAGAGTAAGGAAAGAAAAGAAAAGAAAGGTGCACCTTGTCAAACAAATAAAGACAGATAATATTGATACAAAAAAGGGGAAAAGGATAATGGAAGCTAAAACTCCAAACACTACCGTAACCGCCAACAACAACAAAACCCCTCAGAACTCAATAAAGAAATAAAACAGGGTCAAAAGAGGAAAGAAGTCTGGCATGGTGGCACACGCCTGTAATCCCTGCACTCAGGAGGCTGAAACTGGAGAATCACTGCAAGTTCAAGGCAGCCTGTGTTACATAGTGAGTTCAAGGCCAGTCTGGACTATATAATGAGATCTTGTCTCCAAAATATCCAAAAAAAAGATGAAAGGCAATTCCTGATACCAAAAGAAAAAAAAAAAGAAGAAGAAGAAAGAAACAAAAATTCCTATGTATTTCCAAATGAGTGACTTACTACCAGGGCCTGCATTCTTTGGAGTCTAGCGAGTCGCATTCTTCTCTGCCCCACTTTATAGCCTGTGAGTTTGTGAAGGGACTCCCTGTGCTCAAGAGGTTCCTCTCTCTATGACACCTACTCTGTAGCAACTGTACAAGCTAAGATTCATCTTCACTCACAGTGGTCCATGGGGAAGCTATAGGGTTAATACTATCCCTTAGTTATTGCTGGCTGATCAGGTCTGCAATCTCCTGAATGAGTGTACAGTGAAGGCTAAATAAAAAGAGGCAAATGGAGTGATTTCAGGGGCTCCAGGAGGATCAAAGCCCTCTCACATAATTCAAGATTCTCTCAGGGCGAAGACCATGACCTCTGGGTTGCCTATATTTATTTGGTTATCAGAAGAAAGGAGAAGAGTACTCAAGAAAGGCAGAACCACTCAAGGTCTTCTCTACGTAAGGTATGAAGTTAATCCACTGAAGAACGAGATGCCTGAGGCTATCGTCTTCAGGTAGTTGACATCTGATCTAGGTGTCCTTGGCTGTGATCTTGTCTTGTCCTTTGAGACTTCGTGGCTTCATCCACCACTACAGGTTCTAGTAGGGATTAGTGACTCACGGAGGTTCACTTACTATGAGTCTGCCATCTCCAGATAAGGAGCCTAGGCCTTGGATAGATTCACAAGTGAACATGAAAAGCCAAGTGATTAATTTAAATCTTGCTCAGGTCTTTGTAGTGGTCTCCAGGAAGGAAGCAATCAAACCACTGGTTTCCTCTGGGTGTAGGCAGTATGGTGGGGGCTTAAGCAGGCTGCTGGATTCAGTGCCATCACTTTTGGATCTAGCCCCCTCTGAAAGCCAGATCTTGCCTCCCACCACAGAACATAGGCCATCCTTCCTGGCCTGAACTTGAACTTCTTAGGGGACTTGGGGGGATTTGTCTAGCTCACGTTCTCCCAGTCTGTCTCTGGCCGTCCCTCATCCAGTCACTGTAGTAGGGAAACAGTTCAGTCCTGGAGTGAAACTGTGGTGTTTCATCACTCAGTTTTGCACCATCAACCCTTCCCAAAATGGCACATAATTAAATTTTCCCTGGCAATATGGCGGGCTATGTACTGGATTGTTTTTCAGGGCTATTCCATTGTGAAGAAGCCACTCTCCAGGTAAAGCCCCAAACTGATTTTTTTATTTATACCAGCTGTGGGCTTTTCTTGTGGCTAGTGTTTTTCACTGAAGCAGCCAACTCTTTCAGGCAGGCTTACCTTTTCTCTGGCATATGACCTCTTCTTTGATCAGGTCAGTTTGATCATCACCTGTCTAGCCCTGTGCTATGGGGATCAAAGGTGTAGAGCCTGTTAGCAGCTGGAAGTTGAAAGTTTGAAGCCCGTGGAAGGTAGAGTCCTTTCTTGCGCTGCACAGGCAAGTTCCTCAAACCTGGAAGAGCTTCCAGCTCATGGAAGTGTGGAGCCCTTCCTTAGTCTGGGTTTCCAGAGTTTTTTTTCTCTCAAACCAGTCTATACTCCTTCTCTGTAATTAGTTAGTTACTCTTTAAATTTATTAGCAGTTACTGATTCCAGTGGTGATTTCTGCTCTTTATAAGCAGTGATTCTGTTTTTGTCTTCTCTGCAGTTTTTTAACTGATGTTTTCCCTGTGACTTCAATTCTCTGTGGTACCTAAGAATAGTTGATTCTCAGTTTGTTTAACATATTCTTGAGTCTTGCTGTTCTTGTTTATGTTTTAATTAGGAGTTCTTTACTATGCTGTACTTGATGTACTTATTGATGCAGTTAGATTTAAACCTATCATCTTTTTTTTTGTCCTTGTTTTTTTGAGATGGGATATATGCAGTTTAGGCTGGCCTTGAACTCACTATGTAGCCCCAGATGGCCTTGTACTTGCGGTAATTCTCCTACTTTATCCTCCCAGGTGCTGGGATTATAAGTGTGTGCCAACATGCCCAGTTAGATCTACTGTCTTGTAGTTTGTTTTCGCTTAATCATCTTCATGGAGATGTTCATTCTACATGGTGGAATGAGAGTAAGAGTTGACTAAATATATAACGACAAGGGGAACAGAATAGTATGTACAAAGAAAGATGTGCAGCTCAGACAAAACATGGCTCATTTAAAAAATTACAAGTTCTAATTAATAACACCATAATCTAAGGAAATGGCATTGATAAAGCTAGATAATTAGGTAGAAGCTTGACTATAGAGGGCTTTCTTAAACAGTTCATACTTCATTGGATGAGTAGTATGAGCCATCTAAAAAGTTTTAAGTAGTGAAGTAAAACAATCAGGGTTTGTTCACATTTAAGAAAAGGAGAGGAAGGATTTTGAAGTGAGGCAAGATTAGAAGTAAAATAATGAGGAGAAATGTATGGTAAGAAGTGTTGTAAGGGAGAATTTTACTAAAGTTTCAAAATGTTAATGTCAGTCTGAGTGGTATAAATGTACTTGCCCTCATACAGGATGATAGCACATAGCTTTACAAAATATATCTTTAGAAATACTCGTTTAATCTTTCACATAGATTAAAGTTGGAATGTATTTAGTAGATTCAGCCTAATTGAACACACATCACAAAACAGTTCCACAATTCAGCACATTTGTCAGTCTGTGCCCAAGAGACTGGAAAAATTAAAAGTCACATTTGGTGACTACCTATAGTATAACATGATCTTAGAATGATATAGTAATTTCATTTCCTAAGCAGCAAATTCATACCATGATGAAAAGCAAAATTTGAGGAAAAATAGATACATCTTCTTGGATTAGCTCTACTTTTGATACAAAGTAAGGCATTCCATATGGTTGTATTTTGTGAACATGTATTCTATTTTATCTATATCTTTTATAAAGACATTGCTTTTATGAGTACATTTTGATAGGCCTAATGGGATGACTTGAGTTTTTTTATAAAAACTCATTAAATTTTGATTTAAATTTATGCTATAACTGGCAAAGATGGTCATTGAATGAAAGACTTTCTGACTTGAATGGTTGTATGATTTGGAGAAAATTAAATAGCAAAATAATAGAATAGAATGTAAATTTGAATAGGAAGCTACTTTAGATTGTGTGATCAAGGAAAACCTCTTTCAGAAGTAAATTTTGCATTGCGATGTAAGTGTTGAGAGTAATTCATGGTGCAAAGATCTTCAGAGAAGAAACTTCTGACGCTGGGAACTGGTAATTCAAGGTCTAAACTCATCTCTAGTGAGGGCACTGTGGCTGTTATATAGTAGAGAAGCTGTGAGAGAGACTGCTGCATTCAGAAGGGGCCAAGTAGTGTATAGGGAGTGGTCTTTCTTTATAATCACTCAGTGAGAGCTAACTCACTTTAAGAGACCAGCATTAATCCCTTTGAGTGATTAACCACCCAATACTAGGCCCTACCTCTTAACAGTTCTACTGCCATACCACCACCATATTAAAGACCAGATCTCCAGCACATGAAGCTATGGTAGACAAACCACATCCAAATAATAGCAGAAGCTAAGAGAAGACTAACTTTCGTAAGTTAGTTAATTCTTCTCTTTACTATAGCTATTATATTGGACAGTGTAGATTTAAGTTATACAGTATTTATTTATTTATTTATTTATTTGGTTTTTCTCCGGTACCGGGAACTGAACTCACGACCTTGCGCTTGCCAGGCAGGCGCTTTTGCCGCTGAGCTAAATCCCCAGCTCCTAAGTTATACAGTATTAAAAAATCCTAATTTTTACATTTGAAGAAGTTTTTCTTTGAAGAAATAGAAAACTATTTTTTAAACATTTCCCCATGACTGCTTTTATTCAGAGCGTTTCTGCTAGCAACATGTGTTACCCTGATGGCTTTCTCTCTCCCTTGTGGTAAAGAACTTATCTAAAGACCCTGATCTTATATTTTCTTGATCTTGTGACTTACATACTAAAAAGCCACAGCAGGTTTGAATATTTTTCAAGGTAATTTATAATCCTTACCTTAGTGCATAAGGGTCTGTATGATCTGCTTTTTTGTGTGTTTCTACTCATTTCCTTTTCTATACCTTAATTGCCAAAAGGACCTACTATTGTTTGCCATACATGCCATTTATCTTGATTCATGCTATTACAAGTTTCTGTCAGCCAAGTGCTCTTTAAGATTACCTTTCTACCTCTTTAGCTAGATAACAAGTGCTTCAGAATCAATATAAAAGTCATTATCTCTGAGAAAACCTCTTATCCACTAGTACGTTCAGTGTAGGTAAGAGGTGCAAATTCAATCAGGATTCAAATCTCAGACATATTTTTTTTTAACATGGAACAAAAAGAGAATTAATACCCATAATAGAAAAAGTTAAAATTCAATTGAAAGTTAAAGTCCATTAGAAATATAAGGAGTAAAAGTAGGCATTTTATATGAGAAGAACTATAGCTAACTAATAAAAGCATGAAATATTTATCACTTGTCAGGTTAGTAAATATTTAAAAGAGTGATTGCATTTTAGCATGACCACATAGTCTGTCCAATAGAAATATCATACAGACAGCATATACAATTAAAACCTGTTTAGCAGCCACAGTAAAAAAAGCAACAGGTGCTATCATTTTGTTTCAAAATGCCAAAAATGTCCCTTCAACATTGTATTAATTAGAGTTCACAAAAGGAACAGCAATAATATATTTATAATAAAAGACTTGTTAGGTAAACTTACAACATTAGAAGAGGAAGAGTCCCAGTGGCTGTTTGCACATCAGAGAGCCAGAGGGTGCAGTAGCAGTTGAAGGTCGAAGGCCAGGAAGCTCGCTTCAGTCACTGGTGTGAGTCTGTGTTGGAAAGCCAAAGAGTCTGCATTGGAAAGCTGGAGTCTGCCCTGGAAGCTTGAAGGAGATGGAGACCATTTTTCAAAGGCAGTGGTGAAGACTAGAGCTCCTCCAATGCAAAGGGACAAGACTTCTTCTTTCTATTTTTACTTTGTCCAGGCTATAAGCCTGTTGGTTGTTGCCATCCACATCTAGAGTGGGTCTTCCCTTCTCAGTTTGGAGCCTACATGTCAGTTGTCCAGATACATATAATCTCTATGTATCTCTGGGCTATTCTTACACAAGTCAAGTTAACATACCACAATTAATCATCACAAACATGTAATCAGTATAGTAACTGAATAGATATTTAGATTTTCTCATACTAAGTCTTCAAAATCTGGTATAAAATTTCAGAGCATCTGAATTTCACTAGCTATGGACAGAAGATAGATGTTCCTATATACTGTTAATGAGGAAGCATTTTGAGGGAGAATTTGGCAGTGTTTGTCAAGTTAAAAATTCAAATAACCTGGATTCCATTCCTAGCAGTCCATTCTCAAAATTGTAACATGAATAAAGATTATAGATAGGTATTTAGTATAGTATTGTTTATTATGTTAAAAAACACTGAAAACTAACTAAATACCCTATAGGGATTTGGTTAAATAATTGTGATATTTCTAGACAGTGGTTATATTATATAGACTTCAAAAATGTGGAAGCTGTTTATGTTGAGATATTGTATGTTAGTAAATATTAAATGATTTAATATATATGGAATGATTAGAATATGTCTGGCTCATTAAATGTAGTATCATTGTTTACATTAATTATTATAATTGTGAATTTACTTATGGAATAATCTTCCAGCTGTGGTAAGTGGCAAAAGAACACAATAAGGAGAAAATTATATAGTATGCCACCATTTGTGTTGAGAAAGGGGGAGAAAAGAAAATACATGTCCTTGCTTGTATACATGCAGTGCCTGTAAAAGGATAGGCAAGAAACCAATTAACACATTATATTTGGAGAGGAGAACAAGATAGTAAGTAGATAACTTTTCACCAGGTTCTTTTTTGTACCTTTTCAATTTTATCCATAATAAATATATTACTCAAATAGTGAAATAGTAAATTAAATCCATTCTCTTGACTTATTTTGGAAAAATCTATTTGTTACTATTCTGTCTCATTTCTAGGATTAGTATGAATTGTTGTGGTTTTAATCAGGAAAAAACCCACAAGATAGTTCATTTTCAATTAGGCAGAATGGCTAGAGGATATAGGATACTGGGTAAATTTAATTTTGACTAAGCAGAAGCACTATGTTTCAAAATGTTTTTGGGAAGTATTTTCACTCATCCATTTTCTTCTTGTAATGCCATGTTAAACTTTCAGAATCTTTATTTTCAAAGATATTACAGAATGTAGAGATTGCTGTTATAGTCAGCTTGTAAAAGATACGAGAAATTATTTGAATACATACAGAATTTAGCATATATATTCTTGAAGCTTTTTTTTTCAAAGCCAACAACCACAAGAAGTTAGTTGTAATGATAAGTTATGTGTGCTAGTGGTATTTCTTAAGAATTGAGATCTGGATTAAAAAATGGTAGAATTCTGGTTGTTTCATATTTCTCATACTCTTTTGTTAATCAAAATTTCTGGACAAATATATATGGTAATTTTATGTTTTGATTGTACATCTCTCTTACAATGGGAATTTATTGTCATTTTTGGTATTTTTAGGATTTGGAGTGGATCAGTTACGAGATGACAATCTAGAAACTTATTGGCAATCAGATGGCTCCCAGCCTCATTTAGTGAATATTCAGTTCAGGTAATAAATTTTTGAAATTGTCAACTAATGAGTGGATAGGGACATCTATTTCATTTATGTAAAATTTAAAGAAATACAGAAATTAAATGAAATATACCTAACTCTGCTTTTAAACTCTAAGACTAGTTTTTGCTCAACTAGATTACAAGCATTTTAAGTTTTATGAATTTCTTGTGGTACTTTGTATAGTTCCTTTATGTAGTTTCTTAAATATATTCTCCAATATGATTTATTTTTAGAAGATACTTTTAGAAAAATATATTTTGCTTAGGACCTAATACAGTGCCTTAATGTATTCCATCATGGAAATGTGGAGTGATGATGTTAAGTTCTTCAGCTATGGAGTATTTATGTTACTTCTCAATTTGGGCTACCATTTAGAAAAAAATTATTTTAACTTAGAACCTCTAAGGACATTTTCAGCTTAAAAATGCTTCATTTTTTGGAGAAAGGAAAGCAACTGCGTCTTTATCAATTGATCTGAAATTTTTTTTTTTTTTTTTGAGAAAAGTTCTTACTATGTAGTTCAGACTGGTCTTGAACTCACTCACCATGTAGCTTAAGTTGGCCTTGATCTCACAGTGATCATCCTACCTTAGCCTCCTGAGTGCTGGGATTATAGGCGTGCGCCATCACATTTAGAAACTATTTTGAATTTATTGACATACATGGAAACTAGTTAATTGGTTATCTTGCTTCACTTATATAATGTATTTTAGTATTCTGTTGCCTTTTATTTTTATTTTTTTATTGTCCTAGAGTACAGATCAGCAAATTAATACAGCCAGGTAGTAAACATTTCAATCCTTATGTGCTTTTTTTCTTCCCGTGCACGTAAAACTCTCTGTGGAAGGGCAATGGGCAAACAGATAATAATAAAAATAGGTCATACTGACTACACTTATTGAGCATTTATTGTCAGGTATTATATTATCTGATTGAGAGCTTAAATTTAATATTTAATAGGGTTATAAATATGTATCATTTTTGTAATCCATTTAACAATTTTTTTGAATGTGTGTTCTATCTTTTTTTTTTCATTTTGCACTTAAAGAAACTGAGACTGAGAAAAATTAAATAAATTCCTCAGGTTCTATGCTGAGGAGTTATGGAGTTAGAATTTGATTCCAGCTGGTTTGACTTCAAAGGCTGGGCTTGTGATTAGTACTCTGAGCTGCTTCAGAACAAAGGTGTAGCTGGTCTCTTTAAAATAGTCAGGAACTCGAGGTCTTTCATTAATTCAGCCCTTGTCCCCAGTAAGGAAGCTAAGGCTTTGAGGAAGACATTTTTTTTAGTGTGCTCTTTTTTTTTTAAAGAGAAAAAAAGCAGTGAAAACGATGATACAGTTTCAAATCAAGATAATAGGTTAACAGTGGTTAATACATTGCTTATTGTTATCTTCAAAGTAGTTGCTCAGATTGTAAGATACAGGTATGAAAGATTAGTCAAACAATATAAGCACAAACCGCTCTTTTCAATGAATTAATAAAAATTAGTAATATATTTATCTTAGCTATCTTGTGTATATATATTTCTTTTCTCCTTTCTTTCTTTTCTCCTTTTCCCATCCCAGTTCTTTCATTTTGAGCAGTTTCTTCCCCTTTCACAATATCTGTTGTATGTTTTGAATCATATTTATTCTTTCAGCTTTTTACACTAGGGAGACAATACAATGTTTACACATGCAAGTCTGATTTATTTCAGTTATGAGTATGGTCTCAAGTTGCATCCATTTACCTATAAAAGCCTTTGAGTTTATCCTTCTTTATAGCTGAAGGCAGTCCTAGGCAACAAAAGCAAAGCAGGAGGCGTCACAATCCCTGACTTGAAATTATACTACAAAGCTACTGTGATAAAATCAGCATGGTGCTGGCAAAAAAAAACAGACCTGAGGATCCGTGGAACAGATTAGAAGATGCAGACATGTAAGGGACCCCTCCCAATACAGACACACTACAAACACACTCAGCCACCTTATCTTTGACAAAGGGGCCAGACATGCTCACTGAAAGAAAGATAGCATCTTTAATAAATGGTACTGGAGGAAGACATTTTTAAATAAGTATTTTAGAAAGGGAAATTGGTTAAGAATTTTGAAATACAATTACAAAGAAGTATGTTAAAACTTTTTTCTTCATAAGTCATTTCAGAATAAGTTGCCTTATCTTTCACATCTGTGGAATACTTTAGTATGTCATTTCTATAACAATATTTTCTTCTATATGACCTAAGATACACCCTTCAAAATAATAATAATAATAAT